TTTTTTAGTTAATGTGTTTCCACTGATTTAGTTCCCTGTTTCGGGTAATTGCTCCAGCTTCGGAGTATTTAAATTATTTATATTGATGAGTGCGCCCAAAAAAAAAGAAAGGAGATAATTTCGTATTTATTGTCCAAAAAAAAGGCGCTTTAGTAATTACAGGAATAGAACTTGGACAGAATGCATCAATTAATAAATAATTGACGCATTCTGTCCTAACAATATTATGTATATTTTTTTTTTTTTCCTTTAAATGTTAACTTAAGATTAAGTGTTTTTGATATTATCATTAATAGATTTATCTCAGTTGATAAATCTCTTTATATTGGTTATTAATTTTGATTCCATTAGGAAACTTTATCTTAGTTTTTATTATTATTATTATTATGGTGGACGGTAATTATTCCTCATGAATCTATTTTGGGCTCTGTTTTGAGGCCTATTTGTCTCTTTGAAAAGAATTTTTCTGTTTTCAAGTTTGGATATAAATTCATCTTCTTCGTGTATCCACCAGAAATTTTTATTTATTCTATAGAAGTCGATCATGTCGACTTCCGGAATATCTCTGGAGTACTTGAACCTTTCATTTTTGAGATTATGAATTAAAATTTTATTATTTTTTTTGTGCCTTGGGATGTGATATAAAATTGGTCTATTAATTTCATCTTGGAATAGACCGATTTTATCATACCACGTGAAATATTGAGTCGAGCACGTTACCACTAGGACAACGGGCTCATTTAAAAATATAAATTCATTAGTGGTATATCTTCAACATATTGAATATTTTTTTCATTGTATTCACTCAAATTTTCAAATTCAAAATTTTTGAAAAAGTATCAGGAGAACATGAGAATAAAAGAGGTATTCGCTGAAATTTAAAAATTCAAAATTTTCAAAAAAATATCAGGAAAATATGAGAATCAAAGAGGTATTCACTGAAATTTAAAAATTCAAAATTTTCGAAAAAGTATCAGGAGAACATGAGAATAAAAGAGGTATTCACTGAAATTTTAAAATTCAAAATTTTCGAAAAAGTTTCAGGAGAATATGAGAATCAAAGAGGTATTCGCTGAAATTTTAAAATTCAAAATTTTCAAAAAAATATCAGGAAAATATGGGAATCAAAGAGGTATTCACTGAAATTGAAAATTCGAAATGTTTCAAAAACTATCAGGAGTGCATGACAATTGAGAAGGTATTCACTGAAATTGAAAAATTTAAAATTTTTGAAAAAGTATAAGAACTGAGCCTCTACTTTAGTCAATCCTCTTTGGCTCGACCAATGGGATCGATACAGCTCTTCTCTCGTTTTTTCGAGTACCGATAAAAACTGGTAGATGTCACAGACTGCTCCGGAGGGTCAGGTTTACGGCTTTGATTTTTGCCAAATCAAAAGAGAATTTTCAAGTCTCAATGTGATTATGAAATTTACTTTAACACTTTAAAAATTTTTAGAATCAACCTGGAACTTTTAATATTTCAATATAATCTAAACGAAAAATCTCAAGTGGAAAAAAAAAGTCAAAGTGGAAATGTCGCAAGTAGCAAGTTCGCGTAAAAAACAATGAATCCCTGAAAAAGAGTTTGAAATGAAAAATTGCATGAAAATGCAAATACTTTTTACAAGGGATCCCTTGAAGTACATTTTTTTTCCTCGCCCCCGCGAATATTCGATAGTTTTATTCTTCGGACACCCCTAAAAAATTCACATTGTTCCGCCTCCTGGTGTATTGAACAATTAAACGTCAAGTTTGCTGTGCATGCAGGCTTTTTTTTTCTCCAACACAGACATCTCTCCCTCCTCTCGAGCAATTTCACCTTTTCCCTTGGAAAGAAACGTAATAACTATTAAACAGAGATTTGAAGACATTAATTGCTGGCGTACACGCAATTAAACGTCAAAAATACAAAGCATGTGCAGTATGTTAGACTCCAATTTCAGTATACAATATACGTGAGGGGAATTCGTTGGAGTCATTTTCACGGAAGAATAGCTCGGTTGTGAGGGTTTGGTTTATATTTTTATATTGAAGTAACGCACTTTCCCGAGAACACTCTTCGATAAAGAAAAAAATGTACATAAACTACTCGCCCTTTTGTAAAACGAAAAGCGTGTAAGTTCTCGACTGAAATGGCCTTTCTCCAGGTATATATTTTCATATACACCATATTCACTATATAATACGAAATAAAGACAGATAAATTCAACTCAGCGTTTCCATACGCCTCTGAATATATATCTTCGAGGCAAAACTGAAAATAAAAGTACATCATATCGGTGAAGAAAAGTTTTCGCCTTGTTTCTTTCTACTAAAAGAATAATTACCCATTACTCAATTAAATTAGATAAAAAAAATGAAAACAAAGTACACAATAAAATCATTCTCCTCCCGAAATTCCTGAAAAATATTGAAAACGTGAAATGCGGAATTCATAAATTCATAGGAAATTGGGGTCAAGAGGAAAAGTCTCAAAACTTCAACTCAAGACTTCAAAGTCTGAATTTTCATAGAAAATCAGACTGGCGCAATTCCTTTCGAAATCACATCTCCTCCAGGACGAGTTGATCTCATCCCTCTTCATCTACCAGCCCGAGGTAATCTTCCCCTCCTTTCATTTTTCCGCGAAAAACCATTTGATACTGTCACCCCCCCTTGCCCTCCCACCCAGCCATGTGACGCGTCTATTTACCCACCTAGCGGTATGATATTACACCCCGGGGCACACTTCGTCCTCCACCTCGCCCTTTCATCGTCCATTTATCGTTCCTTGTTTTCACCAACTCCCCTCAGTGTTCGCCAACATTTCCCTCTAGCCACGCCCCAATGGTGGCCTGTCCCAAATGGCCGCAGTTCATTGGCCCGCACTGACTTTGCGTCATCCCAATCCTCTCACTCTCTTTTCCCACTCGCTCAATCACTCAATTTCTCACTCGTCTCTCTCACTCCTACATTTACATCCACCATCTGCCAACGGATGCGTGTTTGGATGTGCTAAATGTCGAGTTTTAATGCCCACAGGGCTGGAGGGACTCGGAGGGAATCATAGAATAGTTGAAAATTTAGGAGGCTTCATTTGCCCTATTCTTCTTATATCTCTCCATATCTCCTATACACTACCTGTCAAAGCCAACTCAATAGTCACCACTATTCTCACCATTTTCAGAGAAAAAATAATTTTCCATATCTCAGTCGTTTGTTAAAAATATTTTCAATGCTCTGTTCACTATATTTGTAATGAGTTTCAAATTCTTTCTACACACATACCTGCAATTGAATAATCCCCCTTAAAAAAAATGTCATACTTAAAAGTTCAAGTGGTGTTTCTACTTAATAGTTGTGAAATTTTCCGATAAAATTCTTGCCAACATTTTTCAGGAAAAGAAACTTTTCAATTACAACTTGGCAACACTTTTGCATAAAAGCCTCGAGGCCGAGATCTCCTTAAATGGCCAACCAATTAGATCCTTTATAACATTTTTATAAAGTTCATCCTGCTGAGAGTTTTCGGTTGCCCTCTTTATAATCCTCTTTTTTCCGTAGGTACCTCTCGGCTCAAATGGATATCTGGATATTGCATTAGTGCCAGTGGGCTTTCATACAATATGCAAGTGGAGACTGAATCAATTGATCGGTTCACTCGTCTATATATATATTTATTGCTAGAAATCTATACCACGCGCTTAATGAAAAAAAAAATACAATTTAAAAACAAAATAGAGCAATAATGAAAAAAAAAAATGAAAATATTCGGCTCGAATTGATTTTTAATCACAACTTTTTGTGGTGGTTATAATTCCTTGTAAATTCCTAACTGATGGATATAAACTTATTTTGACACGTCGCACGTGACCCCCTACAAAAACATTTTAGGAGTTAATCTACTTACGTACGAAATTGAAATGTGGTCCAGCACACCACCTGCTCGATACAACAGATGTGCTTTATTTATGTACAGACAGATAAATGCCCCCCCCCATTTTTAGGTGCTGAAGATAATGTTTTATGCAGGATAAAATACCTGCTGATGGGTTCATGTGCATTTATGTGTGCCCCAGAATTTATTCATAGGCACGTCTCATTTTACCATTTCATAAGAATAATTCAATAATTCAATCATTTTCCCCTCCAAACGGATTGGCCATTTTTTCCATGAGTTAATGCATTATAATAGTCTTTTCTGAAAAAATTCTCCAATCTTTATTTTTTAATGTCTCAAGCAATATTATTGTTCGCATATACTATTCTCATATAGTGGTGAGACAATATTAAAATAGTACGCCCCCGTAATTGTCCCCGCCGTTTAACCTATCGGCCATTAATCGTGACACTTCCCTTCCCATAAATACGGTAACAAATCGTTGCCCCATTGTTAACCATCTGTGGGTGAATAAAGCCACAATAATTTATAGCCACAAGCCAGTGTAGACCGCAATATTGAAGATTCCTGGGGAGTCAATCATTATGGGGATCATCACACCAGTTTGTCAGGGGGATTTTCATCAGAAATTACTTTTTTTTTGTTGCGGATAATCTCACAATATTTAGGATAGAAGTCAATGTCAATACGGTTATTCCATTCTGCAATATTAATGTGTATTTTTCACCGAATATATCCTCAATAAATCACTATATTTATTCGGATGGTGCATTGCCTTTTCAAAATCCGCGGGTTAACACAAAAAATTCTGATCGAAATGGTTGTTCAAATCTTTCGAAAAATTTCGGGAAAACATTCAATGTTTTCCAGAACATATTTTCCATGTTTTCACGTTTTTATTGAATTTGATTTGATATTTAAAAATTTTCCCATTTCCAATATTTCGTCTCCCTTGATTGTATCAGGTGAATGTTTAAACAATAGTCAATCATAAAGGATTAATCCATTGGTTTCGACAAGTAGCTTGAAAGTATATACATTTGTGATGATGGATAGAAAAAAATCGAGGGGTGACCATTGGAGTGTACGTCGATCATCCCCTAATTGTTTTATTCGTACTCACCCTCTATCTCGTATTCGCTTCTCACACATATACAAGCAATAACCACCCGCAGTGCCTATCATACCCATAACAGGTTAAAGTCTCACGTCATTATATTCCTCCGACGATATTATCCACTCGTTCAACCCACCAGATTCATCTCATTCGTATTTCTCTGCTACTCTTTATTCATCTCGATTTTTAACTATTTGTACACTTTGGATTGATAAAACCGATGGATCTCATCTCTACGAGAGCTCTAGCTCTTCTCTTTCACGCATCAGTCAGCAGAAAAAAAAATGTCCTTTTCTTAGACACCTCTCAGCCCATACGCTGGAGTTTTATTGCTCCTTATCACAGGGTTTCTGCTGATTGGACAAAAGTTTCTCCTATACTTTTGCTGCCCTCAATATCAAGAGCTTTTCAATCTTGGAAATTGCACAGAGAATTCATGCATGTCGTCGTCATTTTTTTTAATTTTACCCAATGTTGAGATTGAAAAGTGTCAAGTTGATACTTGAGAATTTAAGTTGAGCTTGGATCTCCAATTAATTGAAAATTTTGAAAAACTTCACATGAGATTTTTAAACGAAAAAAAAAAACCGAATAGCATCCGCTATCGAAGTATATATGTAACACTACATACACAACTCCATTACATTGTCCTCGTAAAATCCTCGTGGGAATGAACACTCGGTTGTTTGAGCAACTGAGAGTGTATATATCCAGCCAAAGCACCAATTGTCCTCTATGTTTAGTCTGTTTACACAAACAAATGACCTAATGGTCTAGGCCTGGATGAGATTCAAATTTCTCCCACCCATTTCCCATCCTAAAGACATTAAATATCCTTTAATCCCCCGTTTACCCTAGTCTTCAAACCCTTCTCAATCATGTCATTTGCGCTCCCTATCTTCACATAATTAACAGGTTATAAATTTCGTTATTTATATGCAATATTTCCACCTCGGAAAATTTCGCTCGGTGAACATTTTTTTTTCACAGGATATTCGATATCCTGTGGGTGGGCAATCGAAGAGGTATTTTATAAAATGGTGAAAAACATCGGGTAATTGTTCAATTCAATTATTTTATGATTGATTTTCAGCGATAAAGGATTAATTCTCCATGAACGTGCCAAACTGCGCACGTCAGGAACCTCATAATACGTAAAACCCAAAGCGAATAAAAGATGCAGTAATTGCCCTCCGAGGGTAATAATTCTTCCGTTATTTTTCTCTCTGTGTATAAAATTCCGGGGAATAGTTAGCGGCTGAAAAAAAAATTTTTGGAATCGAATAAATAACGTTGCGGATGTGTACAAACTCGTCAAGTCGTAAAAACTTTAACCAAGAATCTAATATCCTCGAGATATTCGGAGAATTCGAGTGGCTGTCTATAGTTATGATGCAGTACATGTATGATACGTGTAAGCAAGGACCCATATAGATAGATAAAACTGGGGAAGATTGAGGCAGAGATGGGTGTGAGGGAGAGGTAGTTGGAGGAGGACAGATAATGCAGAATGAGAAGAAGGGGGTTGCTATCTTAGCCGCCACAAAGCAGTGATAACATTTTCCCTCCCGGACAGAAGCCTAGCAACCCTCAGTGCCTTGGTATCCCAGGTCGATATCCGGATAACCAGTAACTCGTTGTCATGACAACTACTATATCTTGCTACCAGCCTTCCAACTTTGCCCCGTTTGTTGCCACGCCCCTTCACCAATTCACTAAACATGGCCGACGGTACACACATTTTGTGTGTTGAATTTTCATTCTTTTTATCCCTTTTCGCCAAACCATGGAAAACCCTCCCAGGCACTTCAATTATCATAATATTACTCGTTAACTCAATCATTCGGTTTAATTATGGTAATTTCAGATGAAGCTGCTGTTGGGGCTGATGGAATGCACAGACTACTCCATTATTATCCTCGTCAGATGAAAATTCATCATTTTCATTTTGAGATCCTTCCAAATTTTCAGGTGAGAGAAAAAAAAATCATTTTGCCATGAGTTTTTTTTTTGGACAAACTTAAAATAGCAGGATTGGCGGAAGAAAGAAAGGATCACGAGGAATTGTACGACATCATTAGCTGCGGCGATATCACTTCCTCATTTCACGGTAGCATTGTTCGCATTGGCCCTTAATTCCCCTTTTTTTTTTTCGAAATCACCCCGTCAAGTGTGTGTGCACATGGAATGTAATATATCCCTTTGGTCTCGTGGCACGTGCCGATGTCACGTGCTGGTGAGTGTTTGTTTCGGTTTGTATTGTCACCACGTCTATAAGCCCTTAGGGCCCATCGTTTGTATACTTGCTCATCATTTCTTGCTCCAGTGATAAATTTACTGTGTTGCATCTCATTGTCCGGTACCAAGTGTAAATAAGTAATTGAAAACATTGAAAGGCCCTCGTCGAATAATCATTGAACATCTCAGAATTTATTTTACATTTGGCCTTTCAATGAGAATTACGTGCAATAAAAATTATAGCGGGATTCGGTATAAAGATTAATAGTAATTCCAATGTCGTTGATATTTTTCCGATTAATTAAAAAAAAAAAATCAGCAATCATTGCCGGTGCAATGAGGAGTGGTAATAAAAAAGATTATGCACACGTTTAGTGTGACAGTGAATGAATGAGAGGGGTGAAGGATAGCAGCTGTTATCTCCATCACGATCAAGGAATGCAATATTGTCACCCCATGCGACAAGAGTTGCCTCTGCATCCCCGTCTAGGGATTAAAGCGCAATGAAAATCCACTCATTCTCATCCAACCAGCTCCCCTGCCCACCCGAAACCCACCCACCCACTCACCCCTACTCTTCAACATTTGCCGTACTCTGATCTTCATGACTACACGGTATGCCACTTCTTCTTCTTTTAGTTCTCCAGTGTATCTATCTCTAGTATAGCTGTAGTGCCATCCTCTCCCAACTTGCATACTTTGCCCACTAACACGTTATTACTTCACGCGCCACCGCTACTTTGTACATTCTCTTTGTTTGTTCCTTCTTCTCCACCTTTTTCTGCTTTTCAACAGCTATTTTTTCACTTTTCTCATTCTCCATCATTACCATTTGACGATTCATTATGTTCATGCCACTCAATTGATTTTCCCATTCGCCATCACTTGGTTCATTTTTTTTTTCGGCAATTTTCCATTTCGTGTAAAAATTCATCACCAATCATATGAGATGTTTGAGGTGTTAATGAGGAAATTCAATACAGTCCAGTATACATTTTATTATCGTATATTTAATTAATAAATCTAGATTTTTTTTTTCTTTTTGTTGACACAAATTTTTTATTATTCATAATACAAACTATTTGGAGAAGAAACTCATAGTTGAGTCTCGCGACGGATCATAAAATTAAAGACAATAGTCACTCACTCAGACTATACATTCAAGTGTATGCAATCGGAACAGTAGGTTTCACGGTTGTTATTTCATCTTATCATATCGCGAAAAAGTGTAATGCAACCACTTGTCAACAGTGGTTTTTCAAGATATTATTTGTGATGCACAATTTTCGTTCTCATTCGAGCGCAAGTCGACTTCATGATTCCTCTCTCAATATTCTATCAATTATTGCACGTGTCAAAAAATTATTATTTTTCAACAGTTGTTGTCACGATATCTTACAAATTTTCGTTTGAGAATTCTCATCACAACTAGACAAAGAGCGGAAATTGTTGGATCTCTCTTCTCTCGTTTTAAATTCATACTCGATACTGATTTACGTCTTAATAAATAACGATAAGTTGCCTCTCTCCAATCCACCACGACATGTTTATAGTACCCAATGATATAATTTCTTTAAAAAAAAAAAAAAACAAATATCTTCATTCTAATATGGTGACATTTTTTGGATCTAGAAAATAAATAACAGACTCTAAGTTATACTTACAGTTAAGGTAGCCATTTTAAATAAATTTCTATGAGGAATACAATTTTTATGACTTGAAGAAAGTGATGATTTACATGTCGTATTATTCCATATATACATTACAACGAAAAAACTTTAAATAAATTGTTAATAAATCACCTCATTATTGATTTCAATTTAATGGACACAACTCGTACCTCATCTAAACCGAATTACTTCAATATTTACAAGATCATCAAGCCGAATTACAATTCTCAAAGTGCATTTTTTCATCCCAAAAACAATCGATGGATTAACTAAAAAACAAACTGAAAATTCAAAGAATGTTCAAGTGGATATATATAAACATGAGAACCGACATATTTACAGGGAATTTATTATCACCTACACATCTCCAGTCCACAACCACGAAATAATATCCCACTAACGGTAAATTTCCAACGTAAAAAATGTCCAAATCTCGACCGAAATTCAAACCCTACATTGGTCACGGTGTTAGAAAAAAAAAGCCGCAACAAATGATTATTTCACTAGATAATTATTATCTTATCAATGAATACCTCGTAGTGTGGGGGTAATGTCGAAATTTGAATCAAAATTATGTGAAAAAAAAAGCATTATTTCTCCAAGAAATGTTAACGAAACCTTTGGGCCGTGCAACGTTGCCAAAACCTCGGTGAACGCGCAGTGACAGTAAAGAGTGAAATGGGCAACGTCGCAGTGCAAATAACGCACAGCAAAATCCCTGGATGATATAAAATAATGGGACCATAGCCCTGGTTAAACAAGCGGTGAAAAGGCAGACGCTTGACTCCTGATCTCCCGATGCTCCGGTGGACTGAGATCCAGGAGTCCACCAATCACCTGCTCCGTAGTGGCTTGTTTACCAATGAGTGCATCAATGCTGAAACTAGCCCTTTTTTCCGGGCAAGGACTTCCAGTGACGGCATGCCGGCCAGAATGAACCGCTGACATGGTGACCATCGGTGATGAGGACGACTGATGCAACGGTGGACTGCCAACAAGATGTCGAATCTGTTGAGGTGGTGCTGAGATGGGCACCGGTTTGTAGAGCGGGGGTGGCGGTTCGAGAAAGCCCCCCAATTTCAGTGCCTCCAGGGCGGACGGTGGAAAATCCAAAAGTGGAAGTCGTGGGGGTGGTGTCAGATAAGTCGTTGGATATCCTAAACTACCAGGATGATTGCCACCAGGACAGCCAGATCTCTCTCCACATATGGCAAATGTCGCCATGATGGCCCTATCCCGTAGGACATAGTGCGGTGGCGGCCTCTTGTACCGCTTCCTCCGCCGCAAGAAACTCCCATTATCGAACATGTCCTCCGCAAGAGGATCCAGTGTCCAGTAATTGCCCTTGCCGGGATTCCCCGGCTCCCGGGGAATTTTAATGAAACAATCGTTCAACGACAAATTGTGTCTGATGGAGTTCTGCCAGGCGGGAAATTTTTCGTGGTAATAGGGAAATCTTGCCATTATGAATTCACAAATTCCACTGAGTGTTAGCTTCTTCTGGGGTGACTGGAGTATTGCCATTGTTATCAGTGCGATGTAGGAATAAGGTGGTTTTATCTGGGATGATGTGACTTTCTCCGAAGGATATGACGACGATTGTCCCATCTTCTGACTTGACGACATCATCGAGTATGTCTTCTTGATGCTTCTACTGTTGCGATTACGAACAGCTGTTGTTGCTGATGCAATTAGGTGAGATGTTACTGATATATTGCCTACTGGACGGGGTGACAAGGCCTTCTGATCAAGACTCACTGGATCCACTATCATACTGTTAGAATCGGAATCGCGATCACTGTCTATGCAACCGTCGCAAGATACGTTCGACATCATCATGGATTCCATGTCCATTTTTTTTTTTTATTCACTCGGCTTTTTTCAATCAGACAAATCACCCACAAGTTTTTAATAAATTGTATTATCCCGTGACGATCATACGTCCTAAACGAAAACTAACATCATTTCCCACTGATTTCCATTGCACTAGTGCGAACTGTGTCATCAGCGTTATCTCTTACGCTAATAGTTTGTGTTCTCAATGATAACGGTACAATTTTTTACTCTCCGTGGTTTATATTATCCATGAGTAAAGCCATTAAATTTATTCTCACAACACTACGCAACATTGAATTATTCTGTTTTAGTATCTTAGTGGGATACTGATTGTGTCATTTGTTGAATTGAAGAGCACTCGCTGTCATCAGCAGCCGAGACAGGTGGATGTGTTACATCCTGTCTCTTTTCTATATTAATTTCACATCATCAAAGGTCATTTGGATTTGCCGATTCAATTTTTTATCATCACATCCATTCGACTCAACTCTCTGCCAAGTCAATATGATTTTTATTTTTATTTATTTTTATTATTATTATTTTTTTAAACTCTTATCGATAATCTTATCAGCAATATTTGTCAGAGAAGATTCACTCACTTTCACTAATTGCACACACGTTAGTCCACGGCATTGGGCATAAATGCTGATTTATTTTATTTATCGGAAATTTTGGACAAATGTGTAGTGATGATGTCAAGACCACTGAGTACTAGGTAGAACTAGTCGAATTGATTTGGTGAATTTTCTCTCTGCGTCGACTAGTAGGCGGTCTCCGTTTAACCGAGGGGGCGGGCATTTACAACCCCCACCATTGCACCCTCTCGTGTGTTTACCCCCACAAAACCCCATCATTTTCAGCGATCCCTCTTTTTAGGGGTAGTTGGATATCTGTGCGAATAGCGAGGACAGCTTTTTAGGGGTGAAAGAGGGAATGCTAGGGAATGAGAGGGCTGACAAATTTGGTAGGGGTTGGGATGCACTGGGGAATCGTATACGGTGGTAAAGTTAGCAAAATAGCGGGATAAATAAAGAAGACCTAGTCGACTGGAGGTCTCAGAACTAAAATTGTTGTGCGGTGGGGGCGGATTTGCTTTGAGACGAGATACTGGAGCGATAGTGGGATTATGCGGGTTGAATTTACAATCGCAGGGCTTTATTTCAGATTTCACTCTCGTCCTTTCTCTCTTATTGGTCTGAATCAATTGTTATTATTGCCCAATTTTTCACCCTATAACCATTAAATCCATGGAAATATATTTTTATACTCTCCGTAATTTTTATGAGAAATTTAAATGAAATTGAATCATTGTAAAGAGCCACACAGAAGCAAATATCCGAATATGAATTTAACTATTTATGCATTTAATTGCTCATTCGATCTCAGCATAATTAACAATTGAAATAATTGTTGAGAAATACCTCGAGTGGGAGGTAAACCACCTCGTAATTTTGAAGGCCCATTGAAGTTATTTGTTCTCTTCAAATTACTCTCAGTTGAGCTCATCCACTTCTAACAAAGTGAACAAATATTTTAAGGCATCTTTCACGAGTTTCCGTCACCTGTTTCTCGACTAAAAGAATCATCATTTGTAAGACAGGGGATTGGCAAGGCCCGTGGACAATGCCGAGACCTCTTAAAACACACACTCCAACATTGAGGATGAAATTCATCGAATACCGATTGGCCTGTGTGTAGAACCGTTCTGCCATGCATGCATGACAATTTAACGTCCCTGAGGCAGCTCAAACAGATTCGGTATTACCCCGACTGTACACACGTCTACATACCAGAAACAGAGTGAGATAAACAAGGCCCGAGTGTGATGGTGGGACCGAGAGGAAGAAGATGGACAAATACAAGGGAGGAATTTACCGGGAGAATATAGTACACGAGGAAAACGAGAGGTAAATGACAGAGACAAAACGACGCCGCGAGCGTCGACGGGTAGATGGACAGTCAGAGACCATTGAGTCCCAGGGCTTATATACATTCACATCCCACTCTATCCATTTTACCCATACCTATGCGTTTGTGGATATCGGTTCACAGAACTAGAGAGCGAATATTATGTTTACCCGTACACACGGCTTTTGCGATGCAAATAATCCCGGTATTATTGCACTTACTCTGCAGTCCAACTTACGCCACCCATTCCGTTATCCATCTTTTTTTTTTTTATCTCCAGCTATAGTCACAACTCAGCAAACTATGAAATGCAAATCGGACCCTTTCCGATACTCCCTGTCACCTTAATTCCCTCGATCCAATAAATGTCAGTCATTGCCGGTAGGAATTACACATTTTCTCTGAGTGTCACGGCAAGTCATTTTTTTCATTTCTTCCACGGATTACAAAGAAATGTGAGAGAAAAGAAAATCATCAAGGCGAAAGTTTCTTTGAGCTGCACATGTCAAAGCGATGAAATTCACTGGAGGAGAGTCTGAAGGGAATAACGTTAATAGATGTCATATATTTTCCAAAGTACGGGTGTAGCGCATGCCGAAAAGAAAATGGGTCTCATCGTGGAATAAAGTTGAAGTGTGCGTGGTGCCGACATCTTGGGGTAAAAGAAGGTGCAAAGCCGACAGTATTCTTTGTAACCGCCTTGGCAGAGTACCACTTGGCACTTCCTTTGCGTTCCAAGTCTGTCCTTTTTCTTCGTCTCAGCTACTTCTCTCTCTTCTTTTTTTTTTTTTCTTTATTTCGCTTCATCCCCCGTGCCTTGTGCAGTCCACTTGTTCCTTTTGCTCCTGTGCTTTTCCTTTGTCTTTCCTCTCCCACCACCCCCAGGCCTCTCTGCCTTGAGCCACTGTTTTCATCCCCCATCTACAATTCTCCACCCCCTCTGCCATCCTAAACCTCACCAACGGACTCCCACTTTAGATCTCTTTTCACCCTTGCCTCACAAGTTCTCTTTCCAACCGGGATATTTACCAACATCCAAGATGGCGGCATAATCTTCCGTGCCACTGGCAAAAGAGTCGACTTTAGTCGTTTTGTTGTCAACACGCTTCACCGAGTTACTTCGGTAATCTTCGGCAACCGGTGATGGATGTCCAACACTTTTGTTGGAGAAATTGGGGAGAACCGGAGAAGATGAAAGACAAATCTCAGCCTTTGATGACACATTGTTATTATCCTGGCATGCCGTTTCAAAGACATTTATTTTTTTTTTAGAGCTAATACGAGGGGAAAATTACTGAACAACAATGTGACAAAAATGAAAACTAGTCAAGTGCGAAAATTGTAGGTATGAAATTTTCACCAAATTCTAATCCAATAAATTCATAATTCATAGTATGAGTATAAATTTTTTTGCCTCCTGGATTTTTCACTTCAAAGGGACAAATTAGTTGTTGGGACAAAAAATTTTGGATGTTGAACGGTTAATAATGACTTTTGCCGGGATAAAAGTGAATAATTTGGGATGATCGTCGGATTCAAGGGTGTTCATTTGAAATTCAATAGGATGCAAATCCCGGGGTCCACACGCTCCAGCGATGCGCGTTCAAGTATTATTATTCAAGTATTCCGTCTAGTAGTTCCAATGGACCAAGTGCCATCGTCTTCTTGTTGATGTCGGTTTATAGTTACTAACCGCTAACGCTATAGACTCCCAAGTTTTGCTTGTCTCTGCGAAATTTGGTAAACACACTTGCTTCACTATTTTCTGCATCACTGACTTTGCGAATATTAAATGGATCTCAAGTGAAGGGCAATTCATTGTCGTGTGCATTAATCACATCATTATTGATCCAAATGGCTTAATTGAAAAGCAAAAAAAAAACACGTCTAATGATTTTTATGGTTTATTTTAAGTTTTGAATGCTCAATGATTTATTTAGTAAAAGATTGAGTATTTCCTGACATGTGGACATTTGTCGGGGCTGTGTATTTTCGCCGATTGTTCTCTCGCGAGTTGAAAGAAAAGAGAATGAACGTTTCAAATGCTCGATGGGAGTATAACGTGGCAAACTAACCCGCATGCACTTGTATATCCACTTGTGCACAACCAAAAGTACTTTTTTTTAGACTCCCTCATACAGCGGCTTCGACTCCATAGGGGGCGAGGATTCAAAAGAGGGTTGGAATAAAAATCCACAAGCTCTGAGTGAATAAACGACAAGTGCCACGACCTGTTCTATATAAAAATAGGTAAAAAAGGAATTATCAAGTGAACTCTTGTGTGCAGAGTGACAATGAAAGCCTTAAAAAAAAAATATCTACAATTTCGATTTCACCCATTCCGATATCTATATATTTTTTTTTTTCTTCTCGTGGCTCATGTCTTTTCAGTGAAAAAGAGACGGAGTTTTTCCGGCGACAGGAGAGAAGTGTCGAGGGACAACGATGTCTCAAGTGGAGAGAAAATATGGCTTCGAGGAGAAATTCAGCGGAAAATCGGCAAAATCATGGTGAGAGCAATATAAATATCAACTTCATCCGATATTTAAATTTATAATCCAATTAATAAAAACGAATGATTCAATGAGGAATGATCCAAAATGCTTTATCAAATAATTGGGCTCGAGGGATTTATTTAAAAAGACATTTGAAGCTTTGTGGGATAACAATGAGGAGAATTGAAACGAGGAATAAAAATGGTAAAGAGGTGATAATTTGTTAGTACGAAGGCAAGCGCGTCCCAAATGCGAGTAATCCCCGTGGAAAGTGGGAGAGGAGTTGTGCATTGTTTCCTTGTTTACCAGGTGTTTCGAGTACTTGCGTTTAACATCGAGGTAGAGCAGAGGGGGATGACTGCAGCATTGTAGCAGAAAGTCGTCCCAGTGGTTCAACAAAGCCGACGAATCTAATGCTCTTTTATTGTCCATTGTGCGCAGGTCAAATCGAGGATAGTGAGGGCTTTGGTGTAGAATAAAGTGGGTGTACCACATATACAGCCAGCCCCAAACTTCTTCTACCCCTTGCAAACCCTCCTTACTCTTTATGTTTTCAAATAATTTTTTCAATTGAATAATTGGGATTTGAGGAGATAATTATGATAAAAAACAGATTGACAATGATTCCATTTTATTAGCGTATGGAATTCGGTCAGATACATTGATGCAATTTTTTTCATTTTTGTAGGTCATTGTCTCCCCTTTGTGCCACTGTATTTTATTGTTAACAAAGGATTATAAAATTTTGTTGTTCCGATAATGCGGAGAATTCATCGCTCCCTGTTTCATCATTTTGTGGCTCAGCTTCTGTGGCTTCACTCAATCATTCTCATATTTTCAACTCATTGGCCAAACATAACAATCAAATTACCACACCAATTTCATCTAGTTTGTTAATTTTCTAATATTTATTAATGAAGGCAAAAAATAATCAAGCAAATAAATAGAACACATACTCTTTATGACTAGAATGTTCAAGTCATTGATCCCACTACACAAGCGATAATCGTGTGTGTCAAGAAAAATGATATCACACAATTTATTTGTGATTTGATACTCGGTGGGCAATCAGTCGATTGTGTTGTTCATGCTAATTGAAAAAATCATCATCGTCAAATGGATCGTTCTCCCTAACAAATATGTTAACCGATTCAGACTTTTTGATATCGTAATCACCCTTCATTTTATTATTACCGTACTTGATTTGTCTCGAGTTTTTCAATGACAGAGTCGAAGTATTCGGTACACTGTCAGCCATTTCCGATCTGAATGCAAAGGCATCGTCATCGAATCTCGGATCGCCATTGAAAAACGAATCCCTACCGCTGTCCTCCGATACAAAACTGTCCGCCGAGGTTGGATCCCTCGGATCAACGGGCAGATCTTCAGGGGTTGCTTTGAGATCGGAACCGAGCCGTTGCCGATCAGACGTATCACTCGACGCCGACGGTGTTAAATCATCATCGAAGAAGCTAGACCTCGCGTGCTTTCGCACATCCTTTCTCACATGATCCTGGGCATTACGAGGGCTCGCGGGTTGTTTATTTTCCGAAATTATCGCCTGATCCACCGATCCACCGTGCTCGATACTCTGGGTAAAGTCATCCTCGAACGGCGAACTCTGGGGCTTAGATCTTGATTGCTGCTTGTGTCGATTCATTCGCCGGCGGTGCAACGACTCGCTCTTCATGTCAGGTCCTTCCGACCAATAGAGACGCTCTCCCCAGCTCTCAAACTCCTGATCGCTCTCCCAATAGCTCTCGCGACTTCGCGACCTGTAGGGTCGATGGTACATATCGGAATCGTTGTCACTGCATTCAGACCGCGACATTCCATATTTCATTCTAGGCTCGGCATAAACAACCTCTGCATTGCGATCTTCATTAGCGCTGTTTGGACGCTTCGGCCAATGCCTCTTCCTCGTAACATAACGTGGTGAATTATCAGAACGATCGGGATACTCCTCCTCCCAACCCGCTGGATTATAATCTATCGGTCTATCTCTGGATTCCCTACAGTAATGCATATTGTGTTTTCTATACACGGGATAATCTTCACCTCCAGATCGCCCCCTCCAAAATCTCCCTTCCTCCTCCCACCTTCTCCTCTCGTATTCACGAATTGACCATCTCTCCTCGTCGTCGTAACCCATACTCTCTTGACTACTAAAACGATCTCGATCTCGATCGCGATCACGATCACGATCACGATCTCTGTCTCGATCATCCTCACTCCACAGCATCATCCTCCTCTTGCCTCGATCTTCCTCGTAGAATTGATGATCATGACCCCTGAAATTGGAATCCCGCTCACCATTCCACGGCGCTCGCTGGCCAGTTCGGCATTTCCAGTGTGCCTTTCTCTCCTCCTCGTCCTTGTACGATATTTTCCTAGGTGGATATCTCCTGTGCTCGTCCTCCCATCGACCCTCCTCGTGCCATGGAGAAGGATCGAGTCGAGGTCGATGGGGAGTCTTAGCCCAGGGTACACCACGAGTTTTCCTAGCCGATCTCTCTCGAAAGTGACGATCTTTATCGCTAGCATCATAATAGGTGCTTTCCTCGCAACTCGAGTCGAATCTGCTCGGTGGATGCCGCCACAGACCATCATCTCGTACTCTTCCATTACTCTCCTCTGACTCTTCCTCGTCCTTCCACTCGTTATCACTATCTCCTGAATGCCGATGGACGCTTGTCTTGAAGCCCAACTCCTTCTGAATGTCTTTCTCATCGGGAGACCACGGGGACGTTCCACCCAAGGATGCGTGTGCGTCGAACGATGATTTGTCCGAATGAAAGACTCCACTTTCGAATTTCGCCCAATTATCATCGTCCTTCGGTTCCTCGTGACTCTTTTTCTCCTCTACCAACGAACAGAATACATCCTCGAATCCAGATGCTGCTGGTTTATTTGGTTTATTTACACAACTATTCAGCATCCGAATCTCTTGGCAAATATAGGAGGCAGCTGCTGTCAAATCAAGCTCCTCCTTGTTGATCCGTTTGGGGCTGGCAGGTTGAGACGGAGGGGCTGAAAAGAGCTTCATCAAGTCGTGCTCAGCTAGACTCTTGGACGTGTTGATGGGCGATGGACTCGTTGGTTTTTCATTTGTTTCACTGATCGGTTGAATATCAGCTATGATTTCTCGGAGCGCTGCGTATCGATCGTTCGGCGTTGTTGACGATGATTTGTTCTCCAATTTATTCAGTGTCTCCTCGATCTTCTCCTCCTTCGCTTCTGGTGTCGGACTAATCTCCGACTGGACCTTCTCACACTCGGAATTTTCCAGTGACTGATATTTCTCGTCAGACTCATCAGGATCTTTCATCTCTTCCGATTCAATCGAGTCATTTTTGGTATCCAATTCTTCTGGAGTCTTCACACTCTCCCCTTTTTCATCGATTGGCGATTCTCTCATCACTTCATTTGATTCAGATTTTTTAATATTCTCATCGACATCAATTTTAATATTGAGTTCAAGTTCAATTTGACAATCCATGTCCTCGGCTCCTTCCACTGTCAAATCTTTCCGGTCGAAATCATTAATCTCTTCATCGATAGTCTCATTTTTGACAGAATCACTGCCGATCTGATCGAGTTCCAATAGTTCCCTGAATACCGCGTACTTGTCGTATTTGGGCTCTTCCGATGGTTTAACATCTTGATCAAAATTAGCTGTGAATAGCGGCTCGTTGGCGAATGAACTTTTTGTACCTCTTGAAAGCTCTGGTTTATCTTCCACTTCTCTAAACTCCTTGACTTGCTGAGTTGGTGTGGTTTGCTGTTCCTTCGCCGATAGTTTAGAGAGACATTGAGTTAATTGCTGAAGCGTCAAATTCGTGAGTTGGCCAACGCTCATGTCCAAACTCGTTGCTAACTCAACGAGATTGGAAGATGTTAACTGACTAAGTGTTATGTCTAAAGAAGGTTTCTTTTTCGATTCCTGGGATGATGTGTAGGACTTTCTAAAGAGAGATGATAGAGTTGTGGGAATCATAGAGCTAAAAGAATCCTCAAAGGATGCACCACTGGTATTGATCGACTGAATCTTGGAGGATGGAGAGCTGAAATCGTCATCGAATCTACCCTTGTGTACATCCATTTCCGGAGTTTTGATTGATCGGTGGTTTGGGATCGGAGACGTCGACGGTGACTCCTCTCGCTCGATGAAGTCATAATGAAAATCATTGTGAGGTGGTCTAGGGGGTGGTTTTCCAGCTGCTCTTACTCCCTGCTTTTTCGGTGGAAGAGGTGGAGGATTTATGAGAATACTACCAGCGCCTCTAGGCGGAGGCTCAGGAACTATTTCAAGTTCAGCACTAGATGTGGAGATACGAGAATTGGCGTCTGAGGAACATGATCGGTGGGGTGAAACTGGGGAATCAGTTGTTAGGGCAAAGTCAACGGGAAATGTCTTGTCAATTGACTGGGCACGACAGCTCGAAGGCAAATCATCGTAATCCTTCTTACGGACTGACGAGGATGACGACGACGATGACTGATATTTCTTAGGGCTTGGCAAACGTATTAGCGATTGCCTTGGTTCAGACACTTCTCTCTCCAATCTTGCTGAACTTTTCGATATTGGAATATCCTCGGGTGGTAAACACACGGACAAAGGCTGATGATGTATCAAACGTGAGTTTGTCTTACTCATCTGTGGTGACTGTGATTTAGGTGTTGAAAATGTTTCTGGTTCATCGAATTTGTCGAAATTGGCAAAATCTCCGTCTTCAAACATATCACCGGGTTTATCGTCGCGCGATTTCAATGGATCCAGTGAGTCTGAAATATGAAAATTAGTTGGGAATGTGTCGGTTGATGAAGTTGATGCTAGTTCTTTTAGGACTTTCTTGGGTGGATTCTTCAGATGTTGAAAGAAGTCTTTTTTATCTATGTAGGGTTTACTTAAGCCAGTTCCCAATGGATCTAACTCCGTAAATACATCAATCTGAGGACTCTTACGAGCTGCCGTCGATGATGAACCTGAACCATTTTCAGAATCATTTGCCTTACCTTCTTTGTCATTCATACCGCCAGTAAGACTTGATATTTCCCCATCACTAAATCTTTTCTCACTCTCGCTTTCTAACCACTGTAATGGCGCTTGAGGTGGTGGTGTTTTACTAGGCATTACGGTAGCAGGACTCGAGGTCGATGACGATGGAGTGGGAATTGTCGCTTGTCTATCAAGATGGCAGCGTTTTGCCGAAGATGGTGGAGGCGGTAAAATCGGTTGAACTGAATTTTTCACTTTGATATTTGTGAATGAATCCCCAAAGGGATCTGCCTCAAACGGATCCTCCGACGCTGGCCTCGGATTTTCCGGTGTCAATTTGTCCATTTGGTGAATACCCTGCTGCAATGAATGGAGCTCAAACTGGAGATCGAGAAGATCTGCTATCACTCCGCTACGGTTTTCCGATTTCTTTTCCGAAGATCGCTCCGTCTCGGCCGACGCTCGTATCCGATGCACACAACTATCCACTCCTGCCGCTCCCTGTCATCATAAAATACAAAATACTTTGTCTTTCTCCTCTGAAAATTTTTAAAACAAAAACTGCTTTGCCATCGTTCATTGATCAATCAGTGGTTCATCAATTTACCTTAGTGTCTGGTGCAGGCTCAACAAATATACCAGTGGTGTGATATTTCATGACATTTTGCTCGATATGCTGCTTCGCCAGTTCCATCTCTTTCTTCTTCAACTCGAACACCACTTGGAAGAGATCACGCATCGCCATTACGACCTGATAAAAATATCAATTATTACACATATGAAAGATCCTCAATTGTGTAATATTATTTATTAAAAAAAAATCCTACACACAGATGTATATTTGAGGCTTTTTGTGGCATTATATATATGTATGGAATGAATTCACATGAAATATCAATAAAAATATATGAAAAATACGAGTCTCAATTGATTGAATCCCGGCAATGTAATACAATTATTTACATACGCTCCCCCTTGTTACAGATAATGATTGGTCTGTGAGAACGGCAAGGGGAACGAGAGGGGAAATCGCTGAATTGATCCGAGGGATGATATTGGGTTCCACGAATTGGGCAAATACAATTTTCCGCCTGGCGCTGCGGGGGGTTAAACCTCAGTTAAATGATCACACTGGAATTGTATGGTATGAATTGAAATACGTCTTGCTGTGATTAAATATCAGTGGTGAATGACTTGCGAGTTTGAAAGGTAATGGTTACTTACTTGATTCGCTGCTTTGTCCGTCTTTATGCCAAAAAATCGATGGCCCGTGTCGGGAGAGCCGAATATGTAGCCAAATGCACGTGAATCATAACGATCCTGAGCGATAAATGATATCTTGTGGACTGCATGATGATACAAACATTCCTGCAAATATATTTTCATCATGGTAATTAATAAAAATTATTGTCAACTTGAAAACACTCTTTCGGTGTATTTAGGATTGAAAGAGTCATTGAAATTAGTCCAGTTTATTATTACTCCAGTTTTCTCGTCACGCAGGCGAAGTCCATCGATGCTGACTTGCACAGCAATTCGTTGTTTATGTTCACCAGCGGCTCTTATCGCCATTTTTAAATCGGCAAGTGCTGCTTGGCACATTTGATCACCTCGAGCCTCCGATACCTCCAGTATTCCAATAAGTTTTGCCTTGAAGGATACACCCTCCCCGAGAAATCGGGTCGGCTCTTTTTTGACTGCAACAAAATGAAATTAAATGAAATTCAAAGTTTAGGGTATCTCCATTTACACCATTAAATATTTTATTCCATTTCTTCCATTTTTATTTCTATTAATTGTTTTATAGGCGTGAGGATGTTTTTAAAGGTATGCATCGATTTACTGATATACTGGTACAATAAAGTGGTCAAACACCCTCACCCTCAAATCTTGAATAGAGCTATGAAATGGTGACTCCAATTGGATTTATTCTCCGTATGAGGTCCGTATGAAGTCCCTAACACCCCTGGGGTATTTCAAGCACTGAGCGTACAGACAATTGTATAACTCGTTGTGCATTAACAGATCGAATTTGCTTTTCATTGAGGGAAGTTGGGAGCTGTGGGCGGTCCCACCATCATCCTTCTGTCAATTTAATCGATTCTACTATTTTTTACATATACATAAAGACTTTTACTCATTTTCTCACATTCTTCAAATATCAATATCAAATATTCACACTGAATAATTTGTCATTTCATTGAATTATCTCATGAAATAATCAATAAGAAAAAATTATTTTATTATAAATTTGGTGGTCGATGAATTGCATATCAATTCCAGCTTTATTCCAGTTATAGGAATAGGCACTTGTATACATGGTCGAGTGGAGAACACCAACTGTCGGCACTTGAACACGCATAAGGGGCCGCTATGATTTCCTCGAAACACCCGTCAACCTTCGGCTTTCAATAAAAATAAATGCCCCACAATCGAAATAAATAATTAGCAATCAATAATTACCACCAATGCGTCCCAACAACTAGAAAATATTAATAATTCATATTCGAAAAAAAAAAATGGAGAGAATTATTCGATCATAAAAATTATGCGCTTCGGGCAAAATGGGGAAATTAAAAAAGAATATTAATTATGTCAAATAACACTTCTTTGAGGTAATCCTATTAATTCCTCTTAGATTGGAGTTCAATTATAAAGAATTACTATGAATTACTGAGAAGTAATTGTGATTTTTTAAAAGAATGTTATTGTACCCCTACCGCAAATCCATTATCATATCACGATAATAACCCCTCAAGAATAACCAGCTAGTGACATCTCCTAGGGGGATGTAGCACCACTTGGCAAGCAACCCTTACCCCACATATCCACGAGATTATGTCATTTGTTATTTTCCTCAATTCTCAAAAATTCACAATCCACGAAAATTAAATAATTCCCATTATTTGCTGGCTAATAAAAGATAAATCAGCTCTTCAAAACCCATTGAAACTCCGCCTCTACGCAATTACACAGACCTATCACCTTATTTCCATCATCAATGTCACACTGAGCATTTCGTACATTAATGAGGAAATAAATAAACAAGACTCGGAAAAAAATACTTGTCAAATACTCACACTTGCATGGACTATTTTTCTTCCTCAGAGTCTGCATTGGAAAATGGTACACGTACAGCTTTGTACTACGTCTGGAAGGAAAAAAAGTTGAGCAATAAAAAAATTCTCCCTTGAACTCATCAATTTCCCACAAAAATATCAAAATATCTCACATTTTCTCGATGATGTCAGATTGGCCCACAAAATTCTGACGTCTCTCTCTCGGGCTATCATCAAAATTTTCACAAACCACTGGTTATTGCACAATATTACTTGGAGCTAGAGTTGATTAATTCTCGGTGAAATTGGCCAATCAATTTTTTTTTTCTGTTAATAATTTGGTCAGTGGTACTTTTGACTCTTATAGGGGTGGAGGACTGTTCTATCGAAGCCGGATAATTTCACTGCTGAGGGGAACACACACTTGAGAGGATGGGGTGGGGGGCAAGTCGATTTTACGATTTTTCGATTTTTTTTTTAATCCTCACGCATATAGTTGAGGTGTAAAAACGTTGGGGGAAACAACACAGCTGCCACAGCGCCGGCAAGACTCGCCCATCGCCTGTTATTGATCAATAATACAACCCTCAACCCCCCACCCTCCCCCTTGCACCCTCGTTTTGGTTCATTCTGCGCCCACCGAATTCCTTGCAACAAAATTTTACTCATTTTATTCATTTCACTCACACTCAGTCTCAGTTTTCCGTGTTAATTGAGCAATTCAAGATTTGATTGAGCGGATTCACCATTTTTTCGCAATAATTTGAGGCGCGAACGATGTCGGTGTTTTATAGAGATTTGAAAATTCAATTTCAAGAATCCCATGGCGCTAGTTGACCCGGACAGCGCGAAAATTTGAAACGCATTGTTTTCTTCAGTTAATGGTAATTTTCTTCTTTAGAAGTGATTTGAATGGACTTGTGAATAATTCTAGTTTGATATGGAGGGCTGTTTTGGGGATGATCTTTGAGATGTGGAAGAGAAGGGGAAAAGGAATCAAGACAATATTTTAACAATATTGATGACTTCTCGATTATTTACTCCTCAATTTTTGATATATTCGCCGCGAAAACGATGATAAATTAATGAAGAAAGAAAAAATACGAAGACATTAAAAAATTAAGTGACAATAAAATCATCAGGGGCTAAAAAAGTGAGAATGAGAAAAAATTAAGATAGATGCCTGAGGTTAGAACATGTCCCCAATGATCTCAGACTGGTCTCAAACTCTCAATGAAGAGCAATCTGCACGCCGCATAAATCCATTAAAATGTCACTCATTAGGATTGTCATAGGTTCCAGGCATTTGGCAAGGAATGGAGACACAAAAAGGTACATGACCCAGTTCCATTAATAATCTTGATGTAAATTTGAAAGAAAAATTCATGCTTAAAGGCAACTTTATTTGAGGGTTATGAGAAAAAAAAAAGAAACACCAGATAATTCAACAATTAGCATAAAATTTATTCAATTGTTACAGAGACATACCGTGGAAGCACCTGTTGAAAACAAAAGGACAATTATTTAGCACGATAAAACAGAAATTCAGGTGCACTGTAAAAAAATGTCCCGAGAGCAGAAAATTTTACTCCTTTGGCAAATGCACACTGGGCGGGTTTGCTGTCATTTCTTCAAACTTTTTGAGATTACAATCAAGAAGAGTGGAGTGCGAGGCACTCACTCATCATCCAATTACAGAAATACATGAGATTGTGAAGATTGATTCCCTCAAATGGTACACACTCCTGAAGTATGTTCTTCCTCATTTGTGTCATCTATTAATTGCCATAACAGTGAGTTCAAAGTTCAATCCAATATTTTTCTCTAATATTTCATCCGATTGCATCACACTGTCACTCTCCTAGTCTCAATGCCTGGACAACTCTTAGAAAAATCTTTTTTACCTTTTGGTTTCAGAGTGCGTTTGTCGTTGCCATTCTCAACATATGGATTCCTCAGTGTGTTGGACACGTTGTAAATGTCATCACGAAAGTCAGACAGGAGGGCAAGAGCAGCTATGATGACACTGATTTCATGACAAGTATTTTCCAGCAATTGGCAGCTCCAGCGTTCAAACTAGCTCGCATGTATGTAATTCAAGTATGTAAGTTTACATTGAACCTCGTAAAATGTATTTATTATTTTTTTTATTGTCCGTATAAATGTCCTATGTGATATAATTAAAATTTGATTCTTCTAGGCATTATTCACCTTCACCTATATCTACACTCTCTCCTGCGTTGGAGAAAGAGTTGCTGAGAAATTGCGCCACGATCTTTTTAAATCGGTGATGATGCAGGATATCGAATTTTTCGATAAAAATCGATCTGGAGAGATCGTCACTCGTCTCACGACTGACATCCAGGAATTCAAGAGTTCATTTAAAATACTCGTCGCACAGGGATTGAGGAGTTTGACGCAAATCATTGGTTGTGTCATATCTGTGATAATTATATCACCACAGTTGACTGGTGTTATGGTGTTATGTATGCCAACTGTTGTATTTATTGGTAGTTTTATTGGGAGAAAGTTGAGACAATTGTCTGCTGAAGCACAGGTACAAATGGCCAAAGCCACAGGGGTCTGTGAGGAAGCTATCCAAAATATCCGTACGGTAATATTTTCTTCTTCATGCATTCTTCGACACTTCTCAATTATTTAAAAAAAAAAACACAATATATAAGTACATATGATTTACTTTAGGTGAGAGCCTTTGCAGCCGAAGAAAAGGAACTCGAAGTATTCTCGAGAGAAGTAGATAAAACCACAGCTCTATACGAAAAATTGGGCCTTGGTATCGGCTTGTTTCAAGCTGGTACAAATATATTTCTAAACGGAATTTTACTCTCTACGCTCTATTTCGGAGGGCACCTTATGTCTAGTGGGCAATTGTCACCTGGAGATCTGATGGCATTTCTCATGGCGACACAAACCATTCAGAGATCAATGGCACAGCTGTCTTTATTATTTGGCACTTATGTGAGAGCCGTCAGTGCTGGAGCGAGAATTACGGAGGTAATTAACGTTTTTAGTGAGGAAAATTATCGTTGAAGCCATTGTAATGTTTATCGTTTGCCAGTACTTAGAATTGCCACCAGCTACGATTATGATTGGAGGAAAAAATGTAACGAATGAAACATTCAAGGGGCATATCAGCTTCGATAATGTCAGGTTCAGCTATCCCACAAGACCTGACTTTGTAGTTTTGAAGGATTTTCATCTCGATATTCCGGCGGGTAAAACTGTAGCCATTGTGGGCACTAGTGGCAATGGAAAGTCGACTATTGCTGCTTTATTAGAGAGGTACTGGGATATGGACCGCCAGTATTGACACAATATTTGCAAAATATTTTTTTCTTCTAGATTGTACGACGTCACCGCAGGATCAATAAAAATAGACAATACCGACATTAAGGCGTTGAACTCGAGTGATCTCAGGGGCAGAGTATTGGGATATATTGACCAGGAACCAATTCTATTTTCTACTAGTATTATGGAAAATATTAGGTATGGTAACTTAGAGGCAACAGATGACGAGGTAAATATTGTAATTTATTCCGTTACGAAATTTCAAACAAGAATAGTCACAAAATTTCCCCCCCAAGGTAATTAGCGTTGCAAAAGAAGCAAATGCCCACGACTTCATTGAGTCATTTCCTGATGGATATAACACCAAAGTTGGGGAACGTGGGGCTCAGCTTTCTGGAGGACAGAAACAACGGGTAGCAATTGCCCGTGCTCTACTGAAAAAACCATCAATTTTGATATTAGATGAAGCAACAAGGTACTCAATAACTGGATAGTATTCGCACATTAAAAATTTTCATTGTCGATTTTATTTGAATTCTTTTAGTGCCTTGGATTACGAAAGCGAGAGGATCGTGCAGAAGGCACTCGATAATGCAACGCGTGGCAAAACACTGCTAGTTATTGCCCACAGACTCAGTACAGTGAGAAACGCTGATTTGATAGTAGTATTACAACGGGGAAGCATCGCAGAGGTAAATAAAAGAGTATTGAGAAATACTCTTGTCAGATTATTTGCAGTTCAATATTCTAGGAATATTGAATTCTTACGCAATGCAATTTGATTTTTGCTGCGAATAGATGGGGACACACGACGAGCTCATGCAACAACGCGGAGCTTATTTCGACTTAACAAAGCGTGAAGAGAATGAAACTGAAATTTGAAGCTGTCCTTTAGGGTGTTAACGAGATCGAACGTGCGCACCGTTTGATTTAGTTGTACTCGATGACCATACAGCCAATTGACCAGGGAGAAATATATGTTCGGAATGGCCAATGAATATAGGGTTAAGCATTGAGTCTTACGCATGAAGTTGACAGGAATCTTACCCTCGCCTAATTAATTTATGTGTAGCATCCTTTATCATAAAGTTGATTGAGAATGAATGATTGTTTTGATTGTCAACTTTTTATTCGTCTTCTGATTGGCTAATGAATGGATTGATCATTTCCATGACTACGAGGATGTTATTGTGCGTTACAGCGCTCACTTAGAGGAAGAGCGCACGACAGCACGCACGATTGCCTAGTTTTTTATTACAAGGAATATAGAGAAACTGAAAATCACTTCATTTGCATTATATTGCGCCTCCTGTTACCCGTTGTGGCAGTACTATCCGCAGGTATCGTTGGATTATCCGTTGTGGTGGTAGTATCCGGAGGTATCTTTCAATTATCCGTTGTGGCGGTACTATCCGCAGGTACGGTTGGATTATCCGTTGTGGCGGTACTGTCCGCAAGTACGGTTGGATTACCCGTTGTGGCGGTACTATCCGCAGGTACGGTTGGATTATCCGTTGTAGCGGTACTATCTGGCGGTATCGTTGGATTATCCGTTGTGGCGGT